CATCTCACCACGCAGATGGGAGAGGGGTCAAGCTTTTGAATACAGTGGACGACAGCAGTGTCGTCATACTCCTCAAAGAATTCACCGTCATCTTCAACTTGGTGGATTTGATCAACCTCAGACTCATACTCTTCTTCAGTGACCTCTTCGATAATTGTGACTTAATATGGAATGGAACACAGAGAAGCAATGTGCCCATACCCCTGGCATTTATAACACTTAGTTCCAGGGTTGGATCTAGGGGTATCTGAGATGGGTGGTTTGTTCCTAACATCAGGTCGGGGTGTAGGTGGACCAGGAGGAGGTCGGTTTTGGTTTCCGAGGGTCGGCCGGGGAGTGGAGTGGGCCGGGCCACTGGAGGGTCGATAGGCTGGTCTCGAGTCTTGATGCCTACTAGGGTGTTGGGAATGGGCCTCTCGATCTAACACTAAGCTATATGCGTTCTCTAGAGTGGTGACGTTACGAGCAAACAGTTCATTGCGCAGGTCCTCGCACAATCCAGTACGGAACATGGATAGTATTTGTGAGGGGGTAGAAGAGGTTTCCCCTGCAACGAATTAAATAATCGTCGAAGGATGCAATGTAATCCTTGACTGGTTTACTACCTTGGGTGAGTCTATTCCACCTATCAAGGAGTCTAAGGAAATAAGGAGGTAGATACTTCTGTTTAAGTTCACGCTTCATAAAAGCCCAATCAATAATGGGATACTCGTTGCGGGATTCCCTGAGGCTTTCTAAGTTTGACCAGAATTAACTAGCCCTACCAACGAGTTTCATCTCGGCAAACCTAACTTTTCTAGCTTCAGAGATGTTGTACCATTTAAAGAAGCTATACATTCCCTTAATCCAATCTAAAAACAGTTGAGGATCCAAAGTTCCATCGAAGGTGGGAGCGTCAACTTTGATGTTTTCCATCAAGGGAATATCGGGGTCGAGGTTGGATTCATGACCATAGTGGACATTACGATAAGGGGCACGAGGTGGGGGACCCTCATCTTGGAAAGTGTCATCCCCATACATGTAAGGGGGTCTTGAGGGTGTGTAAAGGGGTGGGTGAGTCCTATCTCGCTCTAGGTTATCGAATCGGTTAGTTGTTTGACGACGGAGGTCAGCTAAATCCGCTTGATTCTCCTTGAGTTGTTAACTAATGGCGCCCATTTGACCTACCAACAAGTCTAAAGTCCTGCTAAGTTGTTCCGGGTCCATCGGGAGACACTACGGGTTACTTAGGGAGATAAATAGGTAAGGGGCAGCGCCTAGACACTAAGTTAAACTTACCTAAACATCACTAAAATGTGCAGGAATTAATTGGACAGCAAACTATGCTAATGTCCTAAGTAGTCTAGGTAGTTTGGATGGTTTTTGGGTTAAAGTCAGCACTTAGTTTGTTGAGAAACTAGCCTAACAACCTCTAAATATATGCAGAAATTTCTAGGACAGCAAGCAAGTCAGCGGAAATAAAATAAATATGCAATGTTATGTATGCAAACAACTAACGAATAATTAAAGTAAACTCCTAAGGTTAATTCTAAAGCAGATAATGCATGCCTACGATGCTCTGATACCACATGATGTAAAAATAAATAAAGCAACGATGTTTATTAAAGAGTTTGCAAGCGTTCTTTGTTGAAAACAATATTAAGAACTAACTTTAAGTAATTTAAACAACGACATGAAACAAAAGTGGCGTGAGTTCAGTTTAGGCTAAGCTACACATGAAGTTAAGATCTCAAACAATCAATAGTTCCAAAACAAAGCATACAGAGTGGTTTTCAACAAGATATCCCTATATTAACAATGAGCTTAATCACTATGAGAATCCACTCACTCAACTCTCTATTTCACTAAGTTTCTTAGAGGAGAAAAGTAGCATGATCTTCATGAATCAAGAAATAACCACAATTGAGCAATAGACTAGGAAGGAACAAGAGTTGGCGGATGAGTTTTATCCAATGGGAAGACGACATGCACCTCCTGAATGTTGCTGGACAGCAACCTGATCTTTTCTAGTTGGTTGGACTGCACAATATTTTGTTGGAATGCCCTAAATAGCAAGCCAAAGTCTCCGGTCAGCACCCCAAGGAAGTTTGAGCGGCAGGTTTTGAGTCCTATGGGTCTTGAAGAGCAACTTGTGAGGTCTAAACAGCAGGTTTTGGTTCTTAGAAGTTTTGGACAGCAACTCGTAAGGATGGGGATCTCTGGGCAGCATGCAAGATCGGTCCAGAAGCCTGAATAGCAAAAAATTTCAGGCTTCCGGATCCCTAGATGTAGGAAACGCAGGAAATAAAGTAGAAGAATTAGTGACAACAGCAGGAATAATTTAGGATTGCTTTACTTGCCTAGGTGGTAAATTAAATTAATCCCAAATCAAATTGGAGATTGATCCGCTGGAGGGAAAATGATGGCTTACCTAATTAATGGGTTTAATTAGAAATGAATAGATAAAGTCAGGCCTAATTTGAATTCTAATTGGAATTGATTTAGGGATTTGATTGGGAATCATAAATGGAAGGAAATAATGAGAAAGAGGGAGGGGTGGGCCGGCCTAGAGAGAGGGGGGGAATTATGTCCAAATTCAATGAATAAGGACCAAGCAATGAATTGTGATTAATGACTAAATCTGAGAATTAATCTCAGGTTTGGGGTGATTGATGACGATTTCCTTCAAGGACATAGGCTTAATTAGAAAGCATTTGAAATTCATATCATTTTGAATTTGATTTCAAATCCTTTCCTAAAACACAAGGGGGCAAATATGGAAGGTATTAATGGGGAAGTTAACATGGGATTCAAGGGAAAAGAGATGGGAAGGCCGGCGGGTTGGAATTTGATGCATGCAAAGGGAGGGGGGGGGTTCAACCTTGGGCTGCTGGTGCTCTCAGTTTGGGCCTTGTTTACTTTGATTTGGAGCTAATTTTTGGGATCTACTTGGTTCTACCTCATAAATGCTTAAGTTGTGATTTTAGCTCATTAATTCAAAAAGGTATGCTTTTATTTCTTGGATTCATTTGGAGTGGACTTGCCTCTTCTCTTCCCCTTTGTCTTCTCGGTTTCCTGTGCTGGCTGGTTTTCCCGTGCCTTGCCCCTTTGTTTCCTGTGTTGGCTGGTTTTCCCGTTCCTTGCCCCTTTGTTTCCTGTGTTGGATGGTTTTCCCGTGCCTTGCCCCTTTGTTCTTTGTGCTGGCTCCTCGGTTCCCTTGATGGTTGGGTTTCCCGTGGCTGCCAGCTTGGTTTCCCGTGGCTTTCTCTTCTTTGTTTCCTGTGCTGAATGGAGGCTGCTGTGTTGTGGCTTTTGGTCTTTCATTTTCCTAAATCTAAGTGGTTTAGTTGGAGGTATTATGGCTATTTGGTTCCTCTCTTTTGGTCTATAAATAGTAGATGTTTTGGAATAAAATAAGTGTGTTATAATGTGATTTTTGGAATAGAAAACCTGAGGGTTTTTTGTTGGAAAAGCTTGCGAGCTTGTTCCATTTCTCTCTTCTCTTCTTCTTGGGAATGCATGCGAGCTTCTCCTATGTTTCGTCTTGGATTCTAACCTCTTCTTCTATCCGCAAGAATCCACCTCACTTATATCTTTCTTCTCTCAATGGATGAATGCAACTTTAGGTGTCTTGTTTGAGTCGTTTGTAAGTGTCAAAGTTTGTAAGTCCTATTATAATATAAAAGTGAAGTTGTATTTTTTCTATTTCGTGTATTTTCTTTATCCTAGTAAGGTAATGTTTTTTTAGCAAAAAAAATTAGGGGTCTCCTAAATTTTTTGCTTACTTTTTTATTACATCATAATTTGTTGGAGGAGGGTCGGCGGTGGAGTGGTGGGGTGATCCAAGGGAAGAGGGGCGGCGAGTGGCTCGGGCCGGCGGCTAGGTGGTGGCATGGGGAGGGTTTTGCCGGCGGTGGGAAGGAAAGGAGGAAGGAATGAAGAGGAAAATTAAGAAAACCAAGAGCTCACCAAGGTGTTTGTTGGGTATTGCACTTGGCCTCTCCTAGGCTCCTTCTCCCTAACTTTCTCTCAAGCTCTCTCAAGAACACCATGCAGAAATTTCAATAGTAATTCTTCATTAACCTCCAAAAAGATATAAGTGGCTTATATATAACAAAACATAATGAATGAAAGCAAAAGACATACTTGCCCCTAGGGCACATATACGACTAAACCCTTTAAGCAAGGGAATAAACGGAAGAAAATAAGAAAACTCATAAAACATAAAACTAATACGATAATAATCAAAAATAGATCGGTGTGATCGTGTCTGTCGATCGTCGTCCACATCTCTGATATACTTTCCATGATCTGATGCCCTCATTAGTTCAATCTCACTTCTTGGGGCCTAACTTCTTTTTTGGCCTCCCAACTAAAGAACAAAAAGGTGCAACTGGCATCAAGAATTAACAATGCTTTCAAAGAGATTGCCAAATAAATGCAAGCAACAAAGAAAAAAACGTATATATCATGAGATAACAAGCAATTGCTACACGCTAAAAGCTTTGAGAGGCATTGAGGTCAATCCTGATTAAAGGATATAATCTATGTGAGTAATCGATGAAAAATATTGTGCTCTTGCTAAAGCAGTATACTGCATATCAAGTTCAAACCCGCTTTGCCACAAGAAATCATAAAACAATATTTATTAATAGTACAAGCATTTAATCTCGAATGGGGCATCAAAAATAAAGATATTGGACTTGGATGAAGGAAAGTGCAACTGCATGCCTAAACAAATATATGCAATGCAATCCATACATAAAAATTGTATCATAAGAAAGCTATAAGATCTTAAGGAAGAAAAAAAAGAGAGATGAATTACCCAGTTAAATTAATAGAGAAAATTGCATATCATGTATATCACAGGAAGCAGGATATGATAGCAAAAGCATAATGATGTCAACATAACTTCCGGTTATGTTTATACGAAATATAATGCGAACCTGGATCAAGCAAGTTTTGTATGCATCCTACAGTAACATATGGCAACATGCTTGCAAAACTGATTTTAAGCTCACCATATGCTGGAAGGTTTCGTGATCCACTTCCATGTTTATTCCACTTCCAGGAGTCCCTGGGCTTAAGGGTGCAGTTAAGGAATCAGGTTCCCGAGTAACAAAAACAATGTTTACTATCCCATAGCTCCCTGACACAGAAGGTTCGTGCTCATCATGTCGCCATTCCCCATCAACATAGAATTTATACTGCATCATTCATGAAACAAATAAAGGAGAAACTAAAGATGAGAAAAGAAAACGTACATGAATAGGATACTTAAATTATATGCACACACAAATGCATGCATCATCCATGAACAATAGAATTTTTGCATGTACATAGAACTTCACATGATATGCATATGGGCTTTGGACCAGCATTCTACATGAATAATTAAATGAATATACGAGCATCAATACATAAATGCATGCACCAACATATAACCATGTGATGAAGCCATTATATAGAAGTGAATTAAATAACATGATCAAGGACAACGGCAAAGCCTGTTGCCATATCAAAATACATCTCTGTATTTTAGGTAAAAAAGTAGGGAAGGTGTGGGAGGAGATAAATGAAAATTGCTGCTCTTGAAAGCAGATTTTACATAATGAATACTTAAATAGAAAATACAACTGTAATATGAATTTAGTAAAGTCAACTTTACTAGTGGCACCATAGATCTACCTCATTCATGCCAGGTGCCAGGCGACAAGTAGCCTGAAATAGAGTGGGACAACCCTCCACAGGAGACATTGGCACATGATCAGTCCACCTGAGGATGACCGTCAACAGAAAGGAATCAGCTGGATGCATATAAAAAGTGACATATCATAGTTATCTAAGAAAATGCAAAATGGGCGCTCTTGAAAGGTTATAATAACGTGTTCTGAATACATTAGTGCATCAGACAAAAATTAATTTTAATGAATGAAGCTTAGTATTAGTTTGTAAAAATCATCCTATTACTAATGAGTTGTTTTGTAAGCCCTTAAAAGGATTGAACCAACATTTCGATCAAATTCTGCAAACCAGCAATACGGGTCTCCTAAAGCCCACCTTAAAGCAAAGTCCAGATTTAAAAGAATTAGCTGAATCCAACATAAAAGTCAATTTGGGAATTATCGCTCCAAACAAGACCCATGGGACTAAGTAGATCCTGTGTGCAGGACACTTCCCATTTTCCTTCTTTTTTTCACATGTGCCATCTCCAGTGCTTGTCCCTCACCTCACAAATAACACTCATCCTCCTCCTATCACAACCGAAAACCCAAGCTGAAAATTTTTATTTTCATCGGAGATCCATTGCCCTTAGACAACTAGCATTCAGTAATGAAAATTTGTTCGGTCTCACTAATATTTTAATGCAGATTTGTTAGTATATAATAAGTCTACAATTCAAGCATCATAATCTATGAACAAAAAATCCATTATTTGTCATTGTTCTCTAAGCTTTATCAAACAATAGAAGATTTTAAATGCTTCCCAAAAGCTTGAATTATATAAAAAGAATAATGTTATTGACTTCATCAAAGTAGCACCAAAATGTTGTGCAAATGGAATGCATTTTCAAGCATGGCTGACATCTCCAAATTTAAAGTTAAAAAAAAAAAGTATTTTGATGAGGTCATCGACAGACATTTTAGGCAGGTTTATCGGCGGAAGAATCGTAGATCGACGGCCACGATCGGGAGTTTATATTTTTGATGTTATCATGTCATTTTATGTTATTTTATTTTGTGTATCTTTTATTTCATGTACTAGTGACGATTTCGCCCTTATGTAGGCGTAGTGTTTATTGTAGCCCAAGGGGCATGTGAATCTTTTTCATGCTTGGAGACCTTTATAAGGAGATCTCCTCTTATTGTATGAGATGATGATTGATTAATGAAAATTTCTGAAATTCCTTTTTGTCTTCTTGCTTGAGAGCTTGAGAGAAAAGAGAGAGGAGGCCTAGGTGAGGCTCCGACCGCAATACCCAACAGCCCGCTCCGGCGAGCTCTTGGTTCTTCCTTGTAAGTTCACTGTTTTTCTCTTCCCAACCAATCCTTCCATACACCCGATTCCTCCCTACAGCCAAAATCCCGAATTTCCCTCCTTTGTTCCGCCGAATTCCCTCACTTGCCTTCCTGCCTCCCCGCTGTGCCAGCCGCCCGATCCCTCCTGCCTACCGAACCTGCAGCCCGTCTCACCCCCTCCTCTGTCCAGGCAATCCCGCCACCTCACCCAGGAGAAATTCAAATCTTTTTGGCATTAATTCTCTCATTAATCCTTCCTAAATTAATGCCTTAATTTAGGGAGAGATTAAATGAAATCTCAGCAGTTTTTGTTTTCAAATTTTGAATTCCTTTAATTAATTAAAACCTGAAATTCAAATTAGGTTTTAATTAATCCCATGGGCCCCACTACTTAAACAAAATTTCCCCCTCCTCCTTGTTTGGCCGGCCCTTTCTCCTCACCTTTTCTCTCTCTACTTGCCACATAAGCAACCATTAATCCCCCTCTTAATTCTCCCATAATAACCGCCCATCCTAATTCAAATTTTGGGAGGTTTCATAGCAATTAATCTCCCTCCAACCCAAGACAAAAATCTGAAATTCAAATTCAGATTTTTCTCTTGTTCTTCTCTAGCTCACGACCCAACCAACATCCCCTAGCCATCTCCCTTTTGTTATGAGCATTTAAGCGTGTCCTTTATCTTTGAATGATAAGATTGGTTTGGTTAACTCAAAGCACATCTTCGCCTAAGCAAGTTAACTACTTTGAACGATTTAATCCTTTACCTTTGTTGGTAATTAATTTGTTATGACAAAGCTTTGAATAATCTTCATTTTAATTTCTAATTGCAATTCCTACTTTGATTCACATCATATTTTATCTCTCTTCCAACAAATGTTCACCTTCCCTCACTCTTGGAATGACACCTCCATACAAACTTCGGCCAAAGCTCCATATCTCTGTCCTACAATATAGGTGGCACCTTATGCAAGCAAATGCAGTCAAAGTTCAAAAAGAATGATATTATGGATTAAAACAAGAGGTGGGTCCACAAATGAGGCGAAGCAATTTCAAACTACCTCCTTACATTGTCAACCACCATTTTAATTATTTTAAAAAATTTATTCCGTAAAATAATGTAATGAAGCCTAAAAAAGGAAGAATACTCATGTAAGAAAAAAAATAGATTGGCTTTGAATCAAGTAAAATGCTTTGGCATTTTCTTAGAAGATAGGGCTAGGTGACTCTCTCTTATATAAGAACTTTATTGAGTTACCCATGAAATAATATTTTATATCTTATTTCAATCCTGAATGAAGCATGAATGTTTTCCCATGGTTGCAAATCTTTGTTCCATGATCACAAAGATGTTATCCTTTCTCCCAAATACTCCATGTCCTTTTGCTTAAGCTAAGGTCAACAAGATATTTTCAACCATGGCCCAGATTTATCCTTACAATACTACCCTTCATCCACCAATATTTTCATGGATGGTACCTTCATGCACGTTATTTGTCGATGGTACCACATGGAATATGAGTATATTATATGATCATGACTAGCAATGTATTCAAGGCTTTACTCCATTATCCACTTCCATTATAAATTTGGTGAGGCGTCTTCACCTCACACTCTCATGTTTCCCAAGGACTGATGTGGGCAAAGGTTCCCACATCACGGATGAATGTAGGCAAAGAAGCAAGTTCATAAAATTATAATTATGATAGGAACATGAATTATAGGTTCCCTTACGGGAAAATTAATGGAATTAATAGATATTAATCATGAAAAGATAAATATTCTATGCATTCAGAAAACTAAATGGGATGGAGAGAAGACTAAGGAGATTGCTAGTTTTAGGTTTAAATTATAGTATTATAGTAGGATTCGTACTAGAAATATAATATGTATGATTTTAGATAAGCATTTCATAGATAATATTATATAAATTAATAGAATAGGAGATAGAATTATAGTTTTAAAATTATTGTTAATGCTAAGATTATTAATATTATAATTGCATATGATCATCAAGTAAATTTGGATATGTGTTCAAAATTCTAATTTTGGAATAACTTAGAATAATCAATACAATGATACCTCTTGAAAAAATAATTTTTATTGGAAGAAATTTAAATAAACGTGTTGGTAGAGATGTAGAAGATTTTAAAAACATTTATGATAGTTAATAGGTTTAGAGTAGATAATTAAGGAAGTAGGACCATATTTGATTTTTTTAGCATATGATGTGGCCTTTCGATGACCCGGTTAGGAGAGTAGAGATATTAGATTTGACTTATGTTAAGAAAGGTAGGGGTAGACCTAAAAAGACTTGGTTAGAAAATATTAGGAATGACCTTTCTTTATTAGATTTAAACGAGAATTTGACTTTTAATAGGACACAATGGAGAAAAAGGATTCATGTAGCCGACCCCACGTAGTGGGATAAAGGCTTGATGTTGTTGTTGTTGTTGTTGTTGTATGATTTTATAATTGTTAACATCTTATTTAAGAAAAGAGATAAGCATCTCATCACTCATAATAATAGATATAGTAAAACTCGTATTGATTATTTTTTTATAAGAAAAGAAATGAGCATCTCATGCTTCCAGCACCAACATCCATCCCATATTTTTGGTACTTCTACCATCAGATCTAGTTTTCAATCATTACACCATCCTCCTTTCATTTTGACCATCCAAATACTTCTAAGTATTTAACAACTCCAATATTTATGAAACCTGGGTCTACAAAACTCACTAAAGCAAGATTTGCCAAATCCAAAGTGCATCCAAATAACCACCCAAGTGTTTGATTCCCAAATAAATACTACCATACTAGTAAATATCTTAAAGCAAGAACATTAAAGTATGGATGATCAAATATCAAAAAAAATCTTAAACATATATAGTTCTTTTTTATGCAATTTTGAAGAATGAGGTAACCAATACCCTTGATAAATTAGAGTCAACAAGAGAGCTCAATGTAATGGGCCGCCTTCAAGAGCGCCAGACACCTCATCTATGATGGTTGTGACAGCCAAACATTCATGTTCAAGTTGCAAAAAGATTGGATATAAAAGGATTTTGGAGGGAGCAAGAGCTTAAGAGTGAGAAAGTAAGAGGATTCCCTTCATTTGGTGTGTGTGTCTCCCTTTGGGTTAAAGCGAGTGATTCCTCAATATAACTTATCATTCTTATCAACATAACCCCCTCTTCAACCTCCTCCAATTTTACATTCACTCTTTTGGGATACATAAGCATCCTGCATAATTGTTTGATAAGAAGAGTACATTGAAGACCTCCAAAATGTCCAAGAGATTCCATCAAACAATCTTCAAAACTATCATGACACCACTAGGATCATTAGATCCGCCACCAACTACATCAAGAGCCAAAAGTGTCCCTAGTTATGACTAAAAAGCCATGTCAAAAAAATACATTCATTCTCAAATTTAGCATTCAAAGAGTTAGAAGCATCTAGAGCTAAAGGCTCTTAAGAGATTTGGTATTCACTGAGCATAAGAATGAGATACGGAGGAGGCATTGACAATCACAAATTGGCGGCATTCCAAACTACTTGCCTGCAAGAAGCAGCTTTACCGGACACACGTCAAGGTGTAGGTCTACTAGCCGATATCCCTTGTTTTTGGTTGCCCCTAAGCACACTGTAAAAGTTTTCAAGGCCTTCAATGCCAAATGAGGGCAACACCCGAGTTCTTAGGAACCCCGTACTTAGTTCAGTCAGACTAGATAGTTCAGAGAATCAGAATTACTGCTAATTTGAGTGTTAGAGGTTTGTGTAACAGGCTAACAGCACATACACTCTAGGCAAGTTGGCGCCTCCTGCTAATAATTGATTTTTAGTATGTGCCTTTTGAGCTAGAGACATCCAAACTGCATTACTCTCCCTTCATGAGAAACGTTGAAGCATGCAACATTTGAAAGAGCAAGTGAAAGAATGCAAAGTAACTTAAAGATCATTTCTAAACTGTTTTAAAAAGAATACCAAATGTACAACCTAAAAAGGAGTCAATCGATGTCTAACGTCGCAACCCTAATTAGAAAAGAAAGAAAGTAAAAGTTTCCCAGGAAGAAAACAAAACCGGAAAGAAAATGATATATTACATGGCATAAGAGAAAAGTTTCCCAGGAAGAAAACAAAACAGGAAAGAAAATGATATATTACATGGCATAAGAGAAACATTACTCGACCTAGTAAAAGTGCCAGTCACCATGACCCTGCTCCCCCCATAACGCCACACAAAAGTTTTCGGAATCAAAACCTCTCCGGCAACCGCACTCGCTTCCGACGGAGAACTTGTCCCTGAAGCAAACATCTGCAAAAATTTTACCAATATGACCACCAAGACTGACTGGTTCCCGTAATTCTATCTCTACAACTATCGCTGTCCAGCCGCTGTAAAAATAGATTTCCTTCTGCTATCAAAAAGCTGGTCTTTCGACTCGAACAACCATCCCTTACCCCAGTGCCTCCCTTCACCGCAAAACCTCATAGAAGCCAAGAAACCAAGCAAGCTCCGTTCATAGAACCATAAACCGACCCACTTACTGCAACCAAGCAGTGAGCGTACTGAGGACCTATCTTATCATTCAACCATTCGAAGCATGGAGATTCAAAATGTTCGGAATGTTCAGAGAGTATGGTGTACTTGGACGTCTAAATCACCACGTTGGCATAGTTTTCTTATTTTAATCGATTCGAAATCCCACGAAGCAGCAAGTCCTGCACATGAGATCGATCAAAAATCCCGCATCAAACAGAAAAAGGATTCCGAACCGATTCCAACTCCAACAACTTCAATCCCTAATTTCGGCTAAGAAGGGCGAATCCAACCGACGCCGGAGAAACCCCGACCCTAGAGGCAGGAGTAGGCACGTAGAAGAGAGATCGAACTGAGATCTTCCTTCACTCAGATTAAAATTGGATCGGCGCTACAAGTTGGGGAAATCGTGAGAAGGGATGTAAAATAGCGGAGATCGAGAAGGTGAAGAGGAAATGGGAACTAATAATAATACAAATATGCAGGGAAAAAAAGGGAAATATTATCGGGAGATTTATCGCATTATTTTCGATTATATCGGATCCGCGGCCAAAAGTGCGGACGGCCGCTACACGAACGATCACATGCATTTGCCAGATGCAACTCTCTAATGCGGAAAGATCAAGAACGTACATCTTCGGCGGCCGAGTTATCATAGGGCAGAGAGTAGCAATAAAAAATTAAAAATATAAAAATGTGGAAATTGAATTAACTATATGCTGGAATTAAATTTGGAAAGAATCAAACGAATGACTTTGAGATATTTATAATAATAATTAACATATAATTATGGCTCGAAATTATATATTTATTTATTTATTTATTTATGATATTTGATTCTAAAATTTTAAATCAAAATTATTATTAATCGTGACTTCTTATATTGCCATAAAATATATATTAATTTTATATTGACATAAAAATTAATAAAGATGAATAGCGAAAAAATAAAATTTTATTTCACATATTGATATAATAAGCTATTGACTATTTCTCAAATCAAAAGAAAGTTGCCCTAAACCTGCTAGCACGATAGGACCATGCCATCTATGCTGAATGTGAGTGCGAATACAAATTGAAAAATGTACTATGAGAATATGCAAAAAATGAATATTTGTCTAAACCAAAAATAAGCTAAAATAAGAAAATAAGCGGCAATGTTATGCAACAAAAACGAATAAGTAATGTCATGCATTATATCTCTCATGCTTTAAAATATCTCTCGTGAAGCTTTTAGGTCAAAGCTAAAAATAATAGTTAAGAATTCGGGGTATTACAAATGGTATTAGAGTAATATACCAGTCGAAAGATGGGAACTAAGCTCCATACAAGATAAAGTACTACACCGTGGGAGCTACCTCTTAAACCTTGTATGGGACAAAGTGCTACGTGGCGAGAGTCACCACTTGAACTTATAGGGTCCACCTCAATAATCTTATATATCTGGTGGATGATTCTGAGATAAATATATTGACGATAATATCAGTTACTTAAATGGAGGAGATTATGAAACTCCTTAAGTAAAGAGAATCTAAACATCGAGGCATCTTTCGGTGTAATAGTTAGAATTTCATTTAAGAAACTCCTTAATTAAGCGTGCTAATCTCGAAGAAATCTTCTGATAGGTGACATCTTAAGAAATTACACAAACAAGATTAACTCGTGAGGCCAAAATAGAAAATATTTCGATAGTTAAGAGTTTGGGCTGTGGTTTTTGATCTCTCTTGCTCTCTTAATTGGTCCCCCCCCCCCACC